TAGCTATGTTTACATTGTTTATTATAATGTTTGTAAACATTTTGCGGCATTAGGCCTATTTTCCCTCAATTTTAGCCATTAATTATAGCCATTCAAAAAGCAGCGCTGCCTCTTTAAAACCTGATGTACGACGCGGATCTGACACTCATCTGGTTTTCTCCCAACTCTTTAGTCATTATGGACCTTATAACTTATTTAAGACCGTGTTCACGAGGTCACTCGTCGTATTTCATCATCATTATGTGCGTTTTTGTCCGTTGAAGCGCTACTAGTGCGCTGTCTGAAGCGGCTCAGCGTATGCGTACAGCATACGAACAGCAAGTAAAGAGACTTTCAAACTATACTCCATTTGCAAATCCATCATCGTCTAGTGTCTGTGCTTTTTCTGTCCAGAAGTTATGAGTGATACCACTGTCTTTATACTCGTTTAAACTAGAGTTGTGGATATCTCATAACCCCCTCATGCAAGCTGTTGATGTTCGGTCACCGGTAGATTGTTGTTGTTGCGTCTCTTCCTTTTCGGCTGTGAAACAATGGCCCGGGCCAGTGTAGCCACTTTGTGGACAAACTAATTAGTGCAAAAACAATTGAAGGCGTATGTGCGACCTGCGTGTACACATGTGCATGAAGATGACTGGCGGGCCGCCAATTGAATAGTCCTGGATTACACATTTATTAAATAAAAATAAATAAATAACAGCAAACCAAACATTTCTAACCTACTTTAATTTATTTAAAACACTAAAAGTATTCCGCTAAACAAGTATGTAATACATTTGTAATAAATATTATTGCTACTTAAGATAACTTTATTTTCTTGTTCTTATCCTCGTCCATAGATCTCAGCTCCACCATACAATTGACTCATGAAATATTTTCATTTATAAAAGATTTTTAGTTTTATTGATTGAATCAAGACAGTCCTAATTTTAAGCAATTACATATATTTAACATCTGCAACACCATTTACGGATGTTACAAATAATGAAGTAAGCATAATAAATGAAAGCAGAAAAAACAAGAGAGCATTTTCAACACTGACTAAACGAGAAACATCAGCTAATGTTCACTGTAATGGGTGTTTGGTGTTTTCTCCTCGGTCATGTCTAGTGTTTGAAGGGGAGGGATGTATGAGGGATACCACATTACAGAACTACTCAGCAGGGGGATCACATTTTTTATGTCATAAAGTTCCAATTTAATTACAAACGGAGCTAAAGAAATGTGTTGTTCTCAGTTCGTTAGAACAAAAATTCCACGAAAAGAGCAGATTTATTTGCCTCAAATTGAACTGTCTAAACTCTTCCCAACCAGAATACGGTAATATCATTGTTAGATTTAGTCAACTCTCCTGGTTCTCTTCCAGCCAGCACATCTGGCCCCGCTCACCATCAAGAGATTTGCCCATGGCATATTTTTTTGTGCGCAAGATTCTTATTAGTTTAGCTGAAGAACTAGTATGTTCCGTTTGGCCTTTTTCATCAGAATTGTAAACTCATTCAAATTTCCATTTGCTCTGGCCAAATGCTTGAATGGGGTAAGATTTGCTGGCAGAAGAAAATCGATGTCAATCAAAGGTTTCCAAGCCAAGCCAACTGTTAAGATATGTCTTCATACTCATTGAGTTTTACAAAACGTTGTATTAACGTCGTTGTTAATGTCGTATTAAGCTGAATTAGTGTTAAGAGTTAGCCAGATATGCACAGATTGATAACTTGTCGTCAAGCACATCATTACTGGGTTATGACCCCCAACTGTTGTATAGTTCATGCATTTTGGCACACTGAGGAATTAATTACCCATGAGTCTCCACCCCATAACTCCCAGTTCCCCACATTGAAGTTGCGAGGTCCACCTACTTTCCCCGGGAAAGAATTTGAGCGCTACATCAGTGACACGGAGA